TCACATACTGCCCATAGTCTGGCACCTGCCTCATAGGGAAGTACCAGCCTCTGGGACTCAGTCAGCACTTTGCACAGGGCTAGCCCACCCCACTGTAGCCAGGTCTGCTGGACCCAGAAGCCTTCAGCTATGCTCGGAGGCAATGCCAGGTCTTGGGATCCAAAAGAACCCAAACAGTGACTTGACAGGAGTCCTTTAACAAGGTGTAATTATGATCACACAAACTCAGTGAAGAATGTGTGATAGAATCTGACAGAACTGGAATAAACTCCCAGCTCTAGAACTTTCCTACAGGTGGTATGACATAACTGAGCCTCAGTGTCCTCATCCTTTAAATCACCCCTCACTGAGTGGGAGGTGAGGACGAGACATCTGGTTGCTTCTGAGTGCTCCATATACACCTGCTCTCCTAGTCACAGTTGGCAGTGATGTTTCCACTTGACTTTGTGGGTTCTACTTGTTCAGGAAAGAGCTATGTCCTACCAGAAGGAGAACCAATGGCTACTCTGGAATCAGCCCATCCTCAATCAAGAGCAAGATTGATTAAGCAGCTGGATAAGTGCCAGCACTTCCCAAACATCATGTGGGACCTATGGCTTTTAGCTTGCCAGTAGGATGTTAGGGCCTGGAATTTCAAACAAAAATCCGTGGAATGGCATGTTCTGGTCTGTCTTGTCCTCTCACATTGCCCTGTCTTCATTGGTGGTGCTGGTGCCTCAGAATGGTCCTCACAATGCCTTCTTTATTTGCCACTTCCATCCTAAGGTCCTTTAGCCTTTCCTACCCTCCTGCCTTGTCCTTGGCAAGAGAAACCATGCCTCTCTCCCTTCCCCTCATGCTCAATATTGATCTCCTTTTTATTTTTCTTCTTCTTAAGAGTCTCTGGTTGCCTTTCCCTCTCGCACTGAGATTGGGGCCCAAACCTGGGATTGCTCCGCAGTTCCTAGTCTATACAGGGAAAAGGATGTAGGGCTTGATTCATTTGACAACCCTTTCTTTGTGCCTAGAGCCCCACATAATGTACACATACACACACACATACACAAACACACATACACACATTCAGATCTACACATATGTACATGCACACTCATATTTACACACATGCTTGTGCACATACACACATTATTGCTTTTACATAAACAACAATCATCTAAGGTTTGCAGAGGAGGAAATAGGCAATTAAAGAGATTAAGGAACTAATTCATGTTCATTCTGCAAATAAGAGGGCATTGAAATTCCACATCATCTGCTGAGTTCCAGAGCCAAAGCATTCTATGTGTAGCATGCTGCCTCTTTGATGGACAAACAGTAGCTTAGATCAACTGATATCTTGTAAATGAATTGTTTGCATGGGATATTTTTAAATTACTAGGAATATATACAGTGAGGATAGGTTTTCAACCTGCTCATACAGCCAATCCATTATCTAGATGAGAATGGGTTGATTTGGGTCACTCCTACCTAGAAGGAAGACTGGACTATCTAGTATAATCATTAAAATATCTGTGCATTCAAGGGTCCTTGAGCACATGCGGTTTCTGATTCCTATGAATGTGGGTCAAAAAATTAAGTGTGGTTTCCCACACTAAAGTATGTTAATACTTTCCCTACACAAGTGGGGGTCTAAGGATGTAACAATTGAAGTGCCTGCCCAGGCACATTGGCACTGTCAATTGACAGGAAAGACGTTTTGCCTTTACCTTTTAGTATTCTGTTTTGGAATATATCCAGTTATACCATGTAGTTATAACCAGTGCACCAAGATCATGGACTTTTTAAAAAATCTGAACCCACATCAATATTCAGCATCATCCTTGGTATCAGCTGCTTCTTTTCCCCAGTATTTTACTCTTAATTTTGTTTTACCTCTTAGCAAGATTGAGCACCTCTTAAAGTATTTTGTTGACAAAAGTTGCCTAGGATTATATTATTTCTGAGCCCTAAAATGTTCAAAAATATTTCTGGTATCTTGACAGGTGAGTGATGACTTGGCTAGATACCGAAGACCATAACTTTTTGACTCAGAGCTCTCTGGCCTTGACCTGGCTGCACTGGATCAAATGTCACATGTGAAAATATTCTGCCAATAAGAAGTTGCTCCTTTGTTGACAATCATGACCTTGCTGGGTTTTTTAAATTTTATTTTTAGCTTGTTTGGATACCTTCAGGAGTCATTATTCTTGATGTTCCAGAATGCCTGTAGAATAGATGCAGGAGCAGATTTTGGTTCAGGAATTCTTTCTGATCATTTTGTTTTCTTCTGATCTCTAGACTTAATTCTGTTGTTTTATTTCATTTGGTTTTGGACTTTCCCTTTGTAGGAACTTTGTAAACTTGAATTGTGTGTCTCTCTGCATCTCCTCTTCTTGCCCTTTCTCCTTTCTATTTTCTTCAGCTTTTCTCCTCCCTTCCTTCCCTGAGAATCACATCCTAGCTGGGACTTACTTCCAGTAACTACCAGAGTTTATGTCAACCCACAGACTTACAATACAAGTAACAAAGCAACTCTACTTTTTCTTCTAGGGAATTTGGTGTTTTCTTTTGTATTGCAGAAGTGAGAAAACCCATTAATTTTGAAACAAATGTATGCAAATACATTTATTAATATAGGAAATAGGAAAATCAGTTATTGCTTCCTTTATAAATAATACAGGCTTAAGTTTTAAAGATATTACTTTTGCTAAAATGCATTAGACAGCTGTGAAAAAAATAACATTTTTCTTTGTGGTAATATCTTTAACCAGATTTGTAGCACTAACAATATTTCCTATGTATATATTATTTTTATTTAATACAGGTAATCTTTTTATTACCAAATCATATTGTTTCTCAGGAGATTACCATCAGTGCTCATAAAAGCTGCAAAAGGAAAAATGGGCCGAGGAGAAGGCATCAATCTCCCACAGATGTAAGGCTCAGGCTGCAGATTAAATACACAGAGCTCCTAATGCATTTCAATGAGTGACTCGTTAGGTGCAGATTTACTTAGATTCCTCCCATTTCATTTCCATTTCAATTTAAATTTGATGGTGGATACCAGCCTCTAATTTCAACCAAGAGCAAAGTGACCACAGGGAAAAACTACATCTTTAAGCTGTCCAGCTACTACTGTGTTTGGTTGAGACCCCTTGGGTAACTGGATATCTTGCGATTCCTGCCTCTGTGCAAAAAAAAAAAAAAAAAAAAAAAAAAGACCCATGGATTCCTCTGAATCCACAAGTCTATCTGGGAAAATTGACCAGCCAGTCCATGTTCACCAGGGTGCCCACATAAGGCCTTTTTGGGTGTGTACCAGGTTCTTCCCTTACAGAAAGAGCTAAGTCTCACTTTGGCCCATAGGTAGTAGTTCAAGTTTGTGACAGAATTAGGAACTTACTTAAAAAAAATGACATGAGGCAAAGCATGCCATTTGAAGTTGCATCTATGGGTTTGACCCCAACTCTTCTATTTACTGCTTTGAAGGCCTTAGGAGAAAATCAGTATGCTTTGAGAAGCATCAGTTTCCCACGTCTTCAAAATGGAAATAGCAATTCCTTCCCAATGTACCTGCTATGAGGATTAAGAGAAATCATGTATATGTTCACAGAGTATCTAACAGAACAGACATGCCTTTCTCCTTTCTTACCCTTCATTCATAGCTGCAGCTACCCAAAGCTGCCTTAGGTAAATGCTGATGGAAATCTTTAGCCCTCTCTAAAGTGAAGGGAGATGACAGGGACAATGCTCTACTCTTTACTCTTATGATCTCATGTGTGTCCTGCAGAACTTGGCAAAAGGAAAACAAATATTTTCTTCAAAAAAGGCCTAGTCTTGATAAAGACAAGTGGACCACAGAATTTCAGGGAGGTAGATATTGTTGGATATGTCTAAACTCAAGTAGACCCAAGGCTCAGTTTCAGAAACTCTTTCCTGAAGTCTCTCTGTCCCCAGCTTCTTCATCTTTCCAACCAGGACCTGATCTAAGACTGTTCTCTGCCTTCTTCTGACCCCTAAGACCATCTGATGAATAGGGTGGTCAGTTTGACAATTGAAATGAAGAAATTTGACAATTCAGGTAAGAGATCTAGAGCATCCAAAGAAAGAATTGTGTCTCAAATCTTACTAGGTTCATCCCTAATTGCCAAACTCAGGCTGCAAAAGGGCACCTGCCATGAGTCTTGGAACGCAGGCTGGCCTTGGCAGCTGTGCAGACATTCTGTCCTCATGTGCCAGCCTCCCATCCTCTGACAGCTCCAGCTCTACTTCTTCAAGCTGATTGTTTCTTGTCAAGGCCTAGTCCACTGAACAAGGTCCCCTCCTACATTCACACCCCATCCCAGAATGCCTTGTGCATGGCATTAGATGTCACCAAAGCCCTGACCTATCAAGTCTCTGACCTCCCATCTCTGTTTCTTATCAAGGCCTTGACCTCTGCATAGAAGTCAGCTGGCTTCCCCATCACCAGGCTTCCAGAATCACCTCTGGCTGAGATTCTCCAAAAAACCTCTGCTGACCTACCATGCAGAATAGCTGACCCACCTCTTTGTCCTGTAGTTGACTCTCTCTTTCCTGCCTGTGGTACTCCAGTGTGGGCCTCTCAAGAGCAGAGTGAAAGTCATTCTTATCTCTACTTCCTCAAGTTAGGTGCTTGATTCAGAGTGGCCCTCAGCAACCTTGGGGAATGGTAAGAGAGTTGACCATGATTTTCTGATCTCTGATCTCTGATCTGAAGTTCAATTGCTGGTAAAGCAGGATCCCTTAAACCCCATGGATTGTGGGTCCTCCCTCAAAGGCAAAGGTTCCAGAGAGTGACTGAATGGACAGATGTGTGAAGAAACCATGGCACACAAGCATGGGCTGATGCATGTGCCTGTGTGGGTAGAATGAGTGAAAAGTCCTAGTGGTGGAAACTGTGCCCCTGAGGCAGCATGGATGGAAGAACGCCTGTACGTGCAGGGTGTGGCCAGCCTGAGGACTCAAGCACATGTGGTTGATCATGTTGGCTCATTTTCATGCAGGGTGGAAGCTTTGATGTGGCAGATAGAATGTTCCACAGCATGAAGAGTGCATGGGAGTCTGCCTCTAGGGAGAACATGAGTGACGTCAGGGAGCTGACTCCAGAGTTCTTCTATCTTCCTGAGTTCTTAACCAACTGCAATGCAGTGGAGTTTGGTGAGTAGAGGTCTGGGCAAGGCCTGGGTATCTGAGTGAGGACTAGTTGGGGTGGGGAGCAGAGGTTCTGGGGAGTATAGTCTCTTTCCTGCAGCTTCTGGGTGGCAACTAATTTCTTTTTTTTTTTTCTTTTTAAAGAGAGAGAGAGAAAAAAAAATTTTTTTAATATTTATTTTTTTTTAGTTCTCGGCAGACACAACATCTTTGTATGTATGTGGTGCTGAGGATCGAACCCGGGCCGCACACATGCCAGGCGAGCACGCTACCGCTTGAGCCACATCCCCAGCCCCGGCAACTAATTTCATATGAATATTTTTAACTCACCTTAACAAACAGGCCCCTCACTAAGACCAATGCAAGGGATATGAGGCCTCTGCTGGGTGACAGCATCCATGTTCAAAGGACGTTGCTGAGAAAGGACACTGGGCCCCTGGTTTCCTGGGACCCTGCCCAGCCATGACCTTTTCTCTAAGAGCTCCAGGCTCTAATTGGCAACAAGGCAGCAGCAAGAGAGCAGGAGCTCTTGCTAGTAGCCTCAATCTAGCACTATCCTGCTGCACTGTGACCTTGAGCTCTTCACCATCTCCATTTCTGCCAGTCTTGCAAATGGGCAAACTTCTGAGTTACGGCTTTTCTTTGTTCCTGCAGCCCAGAATGAGCTAGGCCTTCTTTCTACTCTAGAGGAGGAACAAAAAATTCAGGAGTAGGTCCCTTGGAGATTGCATATAACTTGGGAGCCTCCATTGCAAATGTATATGGTGCCAAGTTGGGACAACTTGCTGAGGGTATGTGTGGTCAGAACCAGGGCAGAGAACGTGACTCAGAGGGCCACTTAGAGCAAGTGACCGAGGAAGGACCTGCCTAAGGAGGAGACAAGTGGGCTAAGACTGACTGATGAGAAGGGCCAGGCCAGGCATAGCCCTGCAAACTTGAGATAGCAAAACAATTCTTCTAGTTGTGCCATGAAGGCTCTGGAGAGTTCCAGCAAGATCACAGTTAACATCTATTGAACCTCCGTCACAGGTCTGGTATTGTTCTAAGTACTATTATGTTTATTTTATCTTATGATCCTCATGCCAGCTCTGTGAGATAACTCCTGTCATCACCTTCAGTTTAACAGGTGGGAAAACTGAATCCTAAGATATTAAGCAACTTGCTCAAGGTTGTACAGCTAATGGGTAGGGGAGACTTGAGATGGAAGCTAGGCTCTTCTTATTCTCTGTGGAATCTCCAAAAACCTTGTGTTCTCCATTTAAAAATGGAGGAAAAATGCATGAATTATCAAGTTAGAGTGAAGATTCAGTAAGAAAATGTGTTCCCAAAGCCTCCCATGGTGCCTGGCCTGGACTTGGGTGCGTACAATATGCCAACTTGTATTTGTTTTACTTAAGCTGGGTAAATAAGTTCTCCCTATTATTCAAACACCTAGATGAAAAGGCCTAGTGTAGTGGGGAGAAAGCTCAACCAACAGCAGTGACACTGAGATCATTCTGTATGACTTGGGAGTCCAGCACTAGTGCTGCCTAGGGAATAAGGAGGACCTTGTGGAGGAGAAGATGGAGAGACCAAGCACATGAGGACTGGGGATATTCCAGGGAGAGGATGCCGGAAGCAGTGTGGGCTGCATAGGACAAAGCTCACATTCCAATCAACACATCAAGGCAATTCTAGGTCTGAGCCCAGTGAGGGCTCCTGTTTATCCCAACCCCTATTGTTTTGCATCCCACTCAGGCTGCATGCAGGACGGGACAACACTAGGGGACGTGCAGCTTCCTCCCTGGGCAGATGGGGACCCTCGGAAATTCATCAGCCTGCACAGACAGGTGAGTTACACCAGAGCCTCTGGTTTTCTGATGTGTTCCTCAGCATCCCCCCAACCTTCATAGAAGCCTCCTGTCCCAGAAGAGGGAACAAGCCCTGAGCCTTTTGTGTTCCAGAATGGGTAAGGTCTATACCCTGGGGTGTCAGGAGGTGGCCTGGTTTCTGGGCTGTTCTGAGAGCCCCATTGGGCTTTGCCATTATGCCTGTTTTTTGAGGACATCACTACAGGAGAGAGTTTGCATGTCCAGGAAGATGTCAGTGACTTTAGCCCACCCTAAAAGCAGGGCTACTCCCTGGGTCATGCTGCCCAGTACACCTAAGAGAAAGTTTGGAGAGTCCAAGGAGCTCCCTCTGACTAAAAAATCTTCCAGGACTGGGGAGGGCTTGACCTATTACCTAGAAAATCAAAGCTGGATTAAGATATAGCTGATGACAGAAGAGGGACGACTAACTGTAAGAAGTAAAGTCTCAAGATGAATGGGGGTTTGATAGGGGAGAATAGCCTTAGGAAGTAGTTAATAATGACCAGCAAGGCCAAGACGTGGCTTCCACTAGTGGGAAGGTTGGAATGGGTGCTTTGAAGATGGAGCAGTTATGGATAGTGATGTGGGTTAAGGGCTGTGTTAAACAGGTTTCCATTGCTATGACAAATGCCTGAGGTCATCAACTTAAAAGGAGGAAGGACTTATTTTGCCTCACAGTTTCAGAGGTTTCAGTCCATGATTGGTTGGCCTCTCTTGTTTTGGAGCCTGTGATGAGGCAAAGCATCATGGTGGGAAGAGAATGATGGATCAAATCTGCTTATCTCTATGTTTTGATAAGTGTTCTGTGGTTGTTTTGATTGTTTTCAAATTCATGATCAAGTGCATTTTTCCCTAGGAATGTATAGTTGATTCACCACACAGAAATTAATAAATGTAATCCATCAAATAAATAGACTTAAAGAAAAGAAACATAGGATTATCTGAATAAATTAAAAAAAAACATTTCAAAGAATACAACCTCCATGCATGCTAAAAACACTAAAAACAACAATAACAAAAACCTAGGGATAGAAGGAACATACATCAACATTGTATAAGATATATACATCAAAGTCAAGGCCAACATCATTCTAAATAGAGAAATGATAAAAAGGGAAAGAAAAAAAATGGGGCTTGGGTTCCAATATCTCCTTCAGGCACCCACTCCCCATGATCTAGCTTCCTTCCTCTAGGCCCTCTCTTCTAAAGGTTCAGCCACTTCTCTATAGTGCCAGTCCAGGGCCAGGCTTTTAACAACTGAACCTATGGGTTGAACTATAACAAGGAGTGTCATGACTGCGTGACTTTGGGTGGAGTAGAAGCAAAAATCACTGGAGGGGAGAGCTTAAGGGCCAGAGAGGCCAGAGAGGCCAGAGATTGCAGTCCCTGAGGGTGATGACAGATATTAGAAGCGATGGTATAGCCAGGAGTGACATTTTCAGTGAATGAGAAGAGCAGACAAGTGGGTAGATGGCAGCAGTGAGACTGAGGACGGGGTAGAAATGGATCTCAGAAAGCACAGAGGACAGATTTCTTTCTTTCCTTTTTAACAAGAAGGCAGAGGAACAGGGTCTTGACATGGCTATGGGGACTAAGGAAAACACCAGCCCCAACTCCTGGCTTCAAACTTATGGGATGTGTTTAGCAAGTGTCCACCACTCTGGATTACTGACGGGGACCTGATGGGTTAAGAGAAAGCCTGATGGGTTAAGGAAAGGAAGTGGAGGAATGGTCCGGAAGAGCTTGAGGATATGAAAATGTGTTGGTTATGCAGTGGCCGGAAAAGGGCCAAGGCTGGTGCCATTCCCTCAGGTACACAGTCATTCTGTTGCAGTCCCAGCAAGTGCTTTAGTGCAAACATTTACAGAAGGCCTCGAGGTGGGCTCCAGGTCTAGGAGGACCATGCCTTTCATCAAGGATCATATGGCATCACTCAAGTGTGAGCTTCTGGGATTCAAAGCCACTTGATCAAATACCTCAGAGAAATTAATCTGGTACAAGTGCCCCAGCTTCCCTAGGCCCAGGTGGAGGGATGCATGTGCTCCCAAGAGGACCAAGGAAATGAGATGAAAATCTTTGAGTTCCAGGGCTGCAGCCCCAAAGGAATGCACTCAGCAGAAAGGTGTCAACTCTCCAGTGGACTGGGACATCCAAATGCTGGGCACATACCCTCTTGCTTATAGGTAGCAACTTCTAAGAAATATTACCAACCTAGGTTTCCTAATCTGAGCTAGCGCCATCCATCCAGGCTGCACCCATGAAGGATCCAGTATGCTTGGCTGCTGTGCTGAATTACTTGGATTGTTAAACATTACTTAGTTATAGTTAGATGTTGCTGGATTCCAGTGGGAGCTGTGTACCTGAGCAGGATGAGGTTTAGCTCCCACTTAGAGGCTTTAAACTCCATGGCTGAGTCTGAAACATCTCCTGTCCTCCCAGATGGGGACAGTGAGGCTGCATATGGACAGGATGGTCCTCAGGTCGTCACACTTGCCCCTTGGGTACATAAGTAGGACAATCTTTGTCACCTTCATGCCCAAGGCTGGACAGAAATGCCCCATGAAGAAAACTTGCATTCTTGGGGGCCTACCTGCACCAAAAGGGTAGATTCTATTATTTCCCTCTCAGGGATGATTTAGTAAGGTCCCCTCAACCAGATGTCAATGACTTCTCAGTATTTGTATGAAGTGAGATCTTCTCAGTGAAACTGAATATCCCCTGGAGGGGAGTGGGTCTGAGGCATGAAAGTTGAAGTTTGGATAGCAAAATCAAAAACTATAGACATGGGCTGGGTGCAGTAGCATTTGCCTGTAATCCAAGTGACTCAGGAGGCTAAGATAAGAGGAATGCATATTCAAAGCCAGCCTCAACCATTTAGTGAGACCTCTGAAATTTAGTGAGTCCCTATTTCAAAATAAAATTTGATAAAAGACTGCAGATATAGATTAGTGGTAAAGTGCTCCTGGATCCAGTCCCTAATACCCCCCCCCACACACACACACACACGGATATACACATGACCATGCCCAAGAACTGCTGAAATTATCCCTACCAGCAAGAGGTGGTCTCTTAATGGGAAGAGAAAATACAGATAAATCCAAGCCGTTGCCTGACACCTCACAGGTGCTCAGTGTAATCACCTCACCACATGGAGCTCACTTTGCTCCAAACACAGAGACAATTTAATCCTCACATTAACCTTGGAAGAAAGTACAATTACTGTCCATCCTACAGGAACAGAGATGTTCAGAAATGTGTGAGTGGCAATGCTCACTTCAGTCCACTTGAGAGCATGTTCTCCAAATCACTACACTTGGTCTCAACCTCTTGACGATCCCTCGTCAGAATCAACTTTCTGTATTTAGATCTCAGCAGGACCTCAGAACATCATTCTGCCTGGTGTCTTCCAAGTAGATGTCACTTGCAGACCTGTACCACATGGATGTTCTGAATGGCATGGTTGTCATCTGAAGTGGATGACTGGGGTGACGGAAACAGTCAGATCTGATTTGCCATGAACTGGAAGCAGGAACCTGCTTCCCTGGGGTGGTTGGCTCATCTGCCTGCTCCCCTCTCATTAAGGCTGGGAGACACCAGTCATCTCTCCAGTGCAGAATAAGCATCCTGAAGCACTTGTATCTTTCCATCTGTGCAGAGGGTGCATGAGTCCATAAGAGGGCTGGGTTTTCACATTTTCTGGGTTTTGATTCCAGGCTCTGGAAAGCGACTTTGTCAGTGCCCATCTCCATCATTGGATAGATCTCATTTTTGGATACAAGCAGCAGGGACCAGCTGCAGTGGAGGCAATTAATACCTTCCACCCCTACTTCTATGGAGACAGAGTGGACCTCAGCAGCATCAGTGATCCTCTGATCAAGAGCACCATCCTGGGCTTTGTCAGCAACTTTGGACAGGTTCCCAAACAGGTACTGCAGATTATATATTTGTTTTGCTTTCTCAAAAGAGTATGCACCATGTGGGCTTGGGAGAGAGAGTGAGCACATTCTCTCCTGTGGTAGGAGCAAGGGAGAAGACTGGAGGGAAAAAATGGTCCCTAGTCATCTTTCTGTGCATTCAATATCAGGGCTTACCCCTCGGTTTCCTTCTGATGTAGATGAAGATGATGACATATTAATGATAATGGGTGAAGGCTACATCCTTCTGTGATGCTAGTGACAGACACTATGATTGATTCATTATACTTCTTTTTTTAATCAATATCTACCCTTCAGGATAATTATTTCTGATGAGTTAAGACATCAAGTACATGAAAGTGTATAAAATGTGACCAGCACTTAACAACTGTTAATTGTGTGATTATATCATTGTATCCTCTCATAAGCTCTGTATATAGAAAGTGTTTTATTATGGATCAGGAAACTGAGGCTCAGAGAGAATAAATAACTCACTTGTATTGGATTGTACCATTACTAAGAAATAGAGGTAGAGCCCTGAGTAGATACATCATGTGGGTAGGTAGGTGCAAAGCATGGGTGATATTGCCACTGTTGTAAAAACATCTACCTTCCACCTGCCAGGGCCTGGTGAACTTCAGGGTTCTCACCTGGGCCTTTGGCTCTGTGGGCTCCATTTCCCACTGGGACATCTGCTCAGCAACGTGAGGTTGTTTATTTACATTGACCTATTTATGAAACACAGGCAATAAAAGTACTTATTTAACTGACCTCATCCCTATTGATCCACAGACTGGTTCTGTGTGATGTTTTATTTCATCTCTGGTCAGAGCCCTGGCCCCACAGGCTGGGGGCATCACCTGGATAGTCAGCAACTATCCTGGGAAATGAGTGCCCAAACCCAGCCAATTCAGGACATCCTGCTCAACAGCCTTCCCTGCATGAACCACGAGGGCTGGCTGAGCTCCTCTTGCAGCTTGTGCAAAACTAACAATATCTTTTCCACCTGTCCCTTTATGGCTTATATGTATTTGCTCAGCTCCCAGGTATGGGGGACATGACAGGGGCATGAGGTGACTTGGAGATTAGATGGCACATACAATGTTTGCAGTTTTTTGGAAAGGGGGAAGATTTTAGGAAACTCAGTGGCCTAGAGGTTTTGTTTGTCAGATTTAAAAAATATATAATACAGAAAAAGCAATGAAATACTTCCAAGTAGGCACCACCCATCCAACTGGGTCCAGTTTTATGCACTTGCCGCCTTGTACACATGCACAGATACTTTCCCATCAGTATATGCAATTGTATATTCTTATTTTATGTAGTGACATAGGATACTCATATCCTTATCTGAAATACTTTGGTGCAGAAGTATTTCAGATTTTAGTTTGTTTGTTTTAATGTTTGCATTAACTTTTCCTGTTGAGCATCCCTAATTCAAAAACCTGAAATTTGAAATGCTTCAAAGTTTAAAATGTCTTGAGCATCATGTGAACACTCACAAGATTTGGAACTTCAGAGCATTTCAGATTTTTGATTTTTGGATTAGGAATGCTTAACCTATATATCCATATGAACTTTTAAAATATTTCTAGCTGGGCATGGTGGCATATACCTGTAAATCCCAGCAGCTCAGGAGACTGAGGCAGGAGGATTACAAATTCAATGCCAGCCTCAGCAAAAGCAAGGCACTGTGCAACTCAGTGAGACATTGTGTCTAAATAAAATACAAAATAGAGCTGGGGATGTGGCTCAGTGGCCCCTGAGTTCAATCCCTATTACCCCCACTCCCCAAAGAATACTTCTAAGTAATTATTAGAATGAGAATTCCCAAGCTATCCCAGTCTTTTAAACAAGATTAAAGTGCTTGAGGTCACACACTCTTCTGTCCAGGCACGGTGCCTACTAAAGCTGTTGCAGAGAACAGAGACCCAGTCTGTGGACACATTAGTTATTTTGTGTGAGAAAGAATGTGCACTACAAAATGCTCCTTGAAAAGCCATTGTTTTGATTTGTGTTTGAATTGATCACCAACACAGTTTTACTAGATTTTTTAGCATTTGACCAAGGGCTGAGCCAATGCTTCTCTGAAATCCCCAACTGCCCATTAAACTTGACCTCTGTCCCCACTTCTGTGCCTGGTGAGGACCAGCTCCCACCCTGCTTCTTTCCAGTGTGGTATCTGGCAGATGTTTCCTTCTGGGAATGCAGGATGCAGATGGCTGGAGAAAGCAGCCTTGCAGGAGCCCAGCCAGGGAGGGCAGCTGGAGAGCCAGAGCTGGCTGTAGATGCGCACGCTGCTCCAGCAGGAAGGAACGGGCCAGACAGTGCAGCCTTGCACTTAACCTTTTTCCAAAATGTCCAAAAACTTTGGCATTGGGGACAGTGTGATGGCAGAGATCTGGAGAAAATGAGAATAAGAAAGTCCACTAGCAAGGTTTGACTGTGTTCTTTGGAATATTTGAATAGGTACATTCAAGAACTCCATGTTGATAGTTGGATGAATGCGGCTGCAAAGAGCTTGTAAGGGAGGAAAGAAAAACAAGAAAAACCTGAGAAAAATCCCAAGCAAATAAAGGGAGCCCTGTGATCAAGGGAGGGACAGGGTGTCCTGTTAACTCCAGGGTGTGAGAGGCAGCTCTCTTGGAGACCAGGGCCTTAACAAGGTCAGCCTTTGCCCAGGCAGTTGGGGAAGAAGAGATTTGGTAGCTAGGAGGACTAGCTCTGTGACCTTGAGAAAGTCACTGCCCCTCTCTGAACTCCAAGCCCTTCATCTTGCAACATTTGAGGGTCAGATAGGAGGGTTCCATTTATGCTCTAGCTCCTTGAGGAGAAAGCCCAGTCCTGACAGTGCCCAGATCAAGGCACAGCTGTAATGTGCATAGGGAAAGCTCCTCCTCTGGACATCTGTTCCCTAATGACCTGTGCAATATATGTGCCTCTCTAGCTCTTTAGTAAACCCCACCCAGCCAGGACCACCACGGGGAAGCCGTCACCTGGGAAGGATGTCTCCACGCCTGCCAGCCTGCCTAGCCACTCGCAGTCCTTTCTCTACAGCCTACAGTCACTGAGACCCTCCCAAGTCACAGTCAAAGGTGATTACCAACCCCTGCTTGTTCTTTACCCTGTCCCAAGGTAGTCCTTTCAGAGACTGGGTTCCTCTGGAGATTCAGGGCACAGGCCTGGCCAAGTACTGGGGTCTGGCTTTGAATGGCTTTATCTCCAAATACATCTGGGGAGGCCTGGAAGTTTCCAGTACCTACATTAGACCCTGACTGCTGAAGACCTGCATGTCTGTATGCCTCAGATATACATAACTCTCCTCTCTTTCTTGCATGCACACACACTTATATACATAACAATCTATAGCCACAGTTGATCCCAAGGACCCTGGTGGGCCTGGCCCTGGTTGCTAAGAACATGTGCCTTGGGGCAGACAGACTGGTGTGAGTCCCAGCCCAACTGTTTCCTAGCTCTGTAGCTTGTAGGGCCCAGGAATTGGGTGGGTCTCCCGTTTTACCCAGCACAGGGCAGGGAACTGGGTGGCCCTCGTCATGGAGTGGATAAGATGTACATTCTCAGCAGTGAGCCCTCACACACACTAAATGGAACACACTGAGATGGGATCATTATATTCATTCCACAGAAGAGCCCCTGAGGTAGAAAGGGATAGATTGACTTGCCCAGGATCACCAGGCTTGGAAGAGAGTTCAGCAAACCCTGAACTCTGAGCTGTATTCCAGCTGGGTTTAAGCATGGCCTCTAGAGTGCAGCTACTGAAGGACTGTGGCCATGCCCGAGATCATGGGCCTCCTCCCTGAGTAATGCAGGAAGTGCTGGATAGGCAGAGTCACCCTGAAGCCCTATGGCTTTGTGTCATCTGTCCCAACAGCCAGCCTGGCCTCCTCCTCTCCTGGCATCATTGCTGAGACACTGAAGCCTTATGTGGCCACTGGCTTAATGTGTGTGCCCAAGCTAGAGGAGCCAAGGAGAAGGGACATGGGCCATCATAGGCCTAAGGCAGCCTTAGGGAGCTGCTGCTTGTCTTGCACATGCTTGGCCTGCAGCGACTCCTTCTTTCTGGGCCCAGCTAAAATAGGTGTTGTTCTCTCATTACATAGTTTCTGCCATACTAACTGGGGGGCAGATATGTACCTTTTCTCCCTAGGATCAGAGTCCCCCAAAGGGGCCATTGGTCACATTGTCCCTACCGAGAAGACCATCCTGGCTGTGGAGAAGAACAAGGTGCTGCTGCCTCCTCTCTGGAACAGGACCTTTAGCTGGGGCTTTGATGACTTCAGCTGCTGCCTGGGGAGCTATGGCTCAGACAAGGTGAGTGGTCACAGGGGAACAGAACCAGCATCAGGACCTCCATCTTCCTCCAGTGCTGAAATGTCTCTAGATCAGTGAGCCCAAGGCAGGGACAGCCACCCACACACACTTCCCCCTGAGGTTGTGCTCATAGCCTAGGAGAGAAAGGGTTCATGCAATCCTGAAAAGACCCTCTTGAGCCAGACCTCCAACCCACATTCCAAGGAGCTGAACTTTCATACCCTCTCCTGCAAAGCAAAGTTTGGCTGGTCCCCTGATTACATGGAGCCGACCGAGATATGCACTCAGTGTGAGTGAGAAAGTCTGGGGCCTCCTGCCATTCCAGGCATGGCTTAGACTCGGAGGACACTTGCTAAACATCCAGCAGCCTTTCAGGAGCAAGACTTCCTACCCATCCTTTATCTTCCAGATGTTTCCACCTTCTCCCCAGCACCCCTCTCCTCCCACCCCATCCTTCACATCCAACAAATTCCCAACCCTCCATGCTCACCCTCACCAACTGGCTTCATGAGGCAGCCATCAAAACTGGCTTCAGAAATGCCCCCATCTGAAAGTTGTCCCCACCACCTCATGCTGAGCCGCTGCCTCTGGTGCTCACAGGATCTCGTGGCACCCCTCTACCTCTCTCTCACCACCACTAGAGTAAAAGTTCCACCTTAGACTTGGAATGGCCTGGATCTGGTCACCTGCTTCTGGATCCTGAACACATGACTTGTCCCTGGATCCCAGGGCACCCAGACTTGCTGGGGTGTCTCCACTCTGTCCTGGTTCCTGGCCACTGCCAGCCTTATCCCAGTGCTTATTCCCCTTTTTCTACAGATTCTGATGACCTTCGAGAACCTGGCTGCCTGGGGCCGCTGTCTGTGTGCTATATGCCCAACCTCCACAATGATTGTCACCTCTGGGGCCAGTGCTGTGGTGTGTGTGTGGGAGCTCAGCATGGTCAAAGGCCACCCAAGAGGCCTTCGCCTCAGGCAGGTACGTGCCTCAAGCAGGTGTGTTGCCTCAGGCAGGGACAACATTTGGGGCAGGGACAGGACTGCTGGCAGGCAAAGCACCTCAGGCAGGTGCAGTGACTTGCCCAGTAGTAGTACCTGAACACCTCTACTCTCTGCTGGACGAGGACCCTGCCTTCCTCGAGAGGGAGCACTGTGAGGAGTGGAGGGTGGCCACAGCTGTCTCCTGGGTAGATCTGATGAGCGCGGGGCAGGTGCCTCTGTGGAGGCCCACACCTCAGTGTGCTACACCAGGCACTGGCAGCTGCTTCCATTTACACTAGGTGTTGGGAGCTAGTGAAGTCATTTTCCTTGCACCAGATGATTCTTTTCTGAGCATTTGTCATGGACTGGCCACTATGTCAAGCACTTTTCCATGGATTGCCTCATTTTCCCAGACAACACTTCTGTAAAACAACTATATTATCACCCCTATTTTCTTAGTGAATAAAACTGAGATGCAAAGAAGTGCAGGGCTCATCTAAGTTCAAAGACCCAGGAAATGAGATAATTTCAGAAAGGAAGTGATTGCAGCAAGAATAGAACCAACAGTGGGTAGGCCGGAAGCAGAACTGGCCCTACCTCTTGACCAACACCACTGGTAATACTAATCAGGGTGGGACTGTCATTTACTTAACACACAGAATGCACCAGAGCCTCTCTCAGCACTAATTTTATTCTTGTGAAGGAATGTTATTCTCAATTTCAGACAAGGAAACAGTCTCAGAAAGGATAAGTTTGCATTGGAGCCTGGGTTTGTTTACCTCAAAATCCCATGCTTTCTCCCAGTGTGCTCTTGAACTTGCCTTAGAATATAACTTGAACCTCCAACTTGAACCAAAAATAATTTCCATACTTTTTTTTATTTGGCCATAGCCCCCAAGTAACTCTATACACACACACACACACACACACACACACACACACACACACACACACAACACGGAATAAAATAAACATACAAAATAAAACACACAAAATTCACCTGGACCAGATTCCTAAAGTGATCATGCTTCACTGAACCCACAGATTCTGGGTTTCCCTAGATGACTTTCAAGTCAGTTTGTCTCCCAGGACCTGCCCTTCTCCCCTGCTGCCATGGCCTGGGGCAGTGCAGGGTGTGCGCTTCATAATTGGGCCAGGAAGCAGTGAATGGAGCAGTGAGGGAGGGAGCTCATTCATCCTGGGGTGCTGGCACTTGCTGAGATATGGCTCTGTAGGCACGTGCACGTGTCCTGCCCCCATATTCACTCTCCAAGGAAATCTCCCCAAGCAACAGTGGTACTTGAAGCCTTTCCAAACTTTCAGGTTGCTCCTGGAGGTTTTCTGACTCCTGGTCCCAATACCAATCAGTTGTCAGTGGCCTGGTCTAAGAGACTGGAAATGAAAGCCAAGTGCCTTCCTCTCTCAAGCATCACTGATACCTATTTATGGCTCACCCCAGAGACTGCAGGCAGTTCCATCCTGACCTTGGAGATGACCCTTCTGAAGCTACTCTGAACTCCCCCTTAGCAGTAAAGGTGTGCCAGAGAGCCCATGATATTGAAACCATAAAAATGCAATGTATCATCCTCTCCTAGCTCCAAATCCAGAGAAAAGGGCATAGGGAATTTCACGTGCTCTTACTTTCTAGACTAAATGATAAAATGCTTTATCATTTTCCTGTAAAGTCTCATGTGGCCTTGGGGATTCCCCCAAACCATTGGGTACTCAGTAAAGAGATCCCTCCCTGACCTGTAGACAGAGAAGTCATCATTAAGTAACTTCATAAACAACTTGTTTAAAGATATTACAACATTAAGGAGAAATTTCAAATTCACTTCAAAGACAACTCTCTATAATCTGCACAAAAGTTTTCATTTTTTGCGTACTGCAATCCCTGATATGCATATTTATACTTTTCTGATCTTTGTGTAGATATTTTTATTCCATTTTTTACCCACCTAGCCTATCAAATTGTTTTTTATTTTTTCTACAGCCTCTATAATTTACATTTCAATTGTTCCAGATTATTTCATTTCCATAAAATTACATTTCAATTGTTTTGTTATGTCAGTACACCATAGTTTAATAAACCATTTCTTCTAAAACAAAACAATTATTTCCAAGTTTTAGCAATTTTGAATAATGCTGCAGAAAACATCTTGTTTGCTTCTGATTGTTTTCCTTATGATAAATTTTGAGGAGTAGAATTATTGCACAGTGACATAATGTTTTCCAAAATGGTTCTATAACTTTACAATGCCACCAACAATTAATTAAGAGTACCCATCTCATTGCAACATAATCATCATGAAGAATTATTTTGAGAGGTTTTTATTTGATTACATTTAGTTTTTGCTACTTTATTTAGGTATAAGATGATATAATAAAGATATTTTAATTGGCCTATAGAGAAGTATTATTCCGAAAAACTAAAGAGCCCACAGGGAACACATTTAAAAGTATTGTAAACTTCCTTGATTTCCCTTGCTTTCCAAATGATGGGGGGCCCCATGCTTTCTATTGCCATAGCTGATGGGCTGGATAACCAAGTGGGCAGTGCTGTGTACACAAGCTGCCCCTTGGAAGGTGCATTCTCAGAGCTGCTCTCTCTGGGTCCCCAGCAGGGAGCCCTTTTCTGTCCCCCCTTTGGAGTTGCTGTGTTCCTGTGGTCAGAACGTAATCATCAGACTTAGTTCATTCTGGGAAGAGGATCAGAAAGTCCTGTCAAATCCTCTCTTTCTTCTATTTATTTAGATAGTTTCCATTTTCCTGAAACAACCCAAGTCTTCTTCCATGGATCATGTGCAAAAATTTGCCATCACCATCTGGTTGGTGTCACATTAGGATCCATTGAGGACAAACAAGAACCTGTGGCTGAAATTTTAATTGCTTTGATCAGGCAAAGTGACAGCTTTGAAAAATGATGCTCAGCCTCATTGACCCAAATGAGTGAGCAGTTGTCTGTGCCCTAAGGGTGGAGGTTTGCCACTAGGTAAGCCATAACCCCATGGCTTATTGCAGGGAACAGCAAGCATGTATAGCATAGAGGGTCTCAGATCAGGCTTTCTGGGTTGCTTGAGATGGAATATTCACAATTACCAGCAGCAATTGGCCCAGGGGTACCTTAGCCCCTTAGGAACACGTACAGAGAAACCAAGGCCTCCAGCCAGATCTGAACATGAAACCATTCATGAATCAGGCCAAGCCCCAAATTAGATAAACCTGAGGGCCAAGAGCAAGGCCTTAAGTCCCCGCTGGACATGAACCCGGATCCATCATACTCAAAAAGTCAAAACTTTTTGACATGACTTGACCTCCTTTCCTCCTTCTGTTTAGTTCAAAAGCACATTTGTTTCTGAGTTTCCTAGAGGGATGCATCTCCCACTTGAGCATGCACTGAAAATCTCCTGGAGGGCTTGTGATAATGCAGATTACATGGCCTCACCCTCAGCGATTGATTCAGTGGGTCTGGGGGTATAGCCCAATAATTTGCATAGCCAGCAAACTCCAGATGCTGTTGAGGCTGCTGGTCTGTTGAGACTTTATATGTCTCAACTTTATCTGTTGAAACTTAATCATGTTATGGACTGCTTTGGATTTCAGATGAATTCAGGGGAAGACAAAGCATAAGGACACTGCTAGCCCCTGGTTGGGTTGTCATAAAGGGACCATTGATTCTCCCCATCTAGGCCTCAACCTCTGGAAATGGATGAAATCCAGATGCCAGCAGTGGACCTGCACACCTGCACATGCACATGTCCATACTTAGGCTCTGAAGTCACTGAATCATGCTAAATCTGTTTTCTCATCTGGGACCAAGAGTAAAATGGAAGTTAGGGAGTCCTTTCAGTTAGCTGGATTGAGGACCCCCTCTCATAACTCATGATTCTCTTTCCTGTCCCCAGGCTTTATATGGACACTCCCAGGCTGTCACATGCCTGGCAGCATCTGTTGCCTTCAGCCTCCTGGTGAGTGGCTCCCAGGATGCCACCTGCATCTTGTGGGACTTGGACCTCCTCAGCTATGTGGCTCGCCTGCCTCCCCACCAGGAGGGCATCTCAGCCATCGCTATCAGTGACATCTCGGTAAAGCTTCTATTTCTCCATTCTGTGTCCTCCTGTGACTTTGAATCTGTATGGTAGCATGTTGAACAATATTCCAAGAGAAAATCTGGCAACAAAAGAGATGCTGATCAGAGTGTAGAGGGCCTAACATGTACAGACATTCACTACAGATGAGCATGGGAAACATCTGAGTCTAGCTTTAATTTTTACTTTGTCACCTTCTGTTCCCAGGGAGTTTAGGGAAGTGGGAGGTGTCTGGTCTAGCATAGGCATCAGGGAGTGGGGCAGAAGTATCTGGTAGGCATGGCTGAAGAAGTTATCTTCCTTACTGCAATTCAGTGTTGAATGAACAAATGTCTGTGGTCTCTCTGTCAATTATTGAACCTGGTGCCCTGTTTTTGCCTCCATGCTGGCTGGCAAAGGTGAACCTCTCAGGGACATGTGTGTGAGAAGACAGAGAAATATGTACATCAGTGTGCAGTTTCTTCTAGGTTTGAAGCCCCTTTGTGGGGCATGGGCTCCTTGAGACACAGAGGTTTCTAGCTCTACTCATAGAAAACCCCCAGGGCTGAGTGCATGGATAATGTGAGCAGAAAGCTCAAATGAGAAAGGGAGAATATGAAAGAACCTTCTGGTACCAGTTTTGGCTGGAAGTGTTGTTCCCCGTAGGCTTGAATATAGAACTAATGTTAGATATGTGGATGGGAGACGAATGGATGGATGGATAGGTAGAAAGATAGAAGGATGAGTAGGTGAATGGATGGTAGGTAAATAGATGGATGGATGGATGGATGGAAGGATGGATGGATGGACAAATAGTTGGGAGTGTGGATAGATGGATTTGTGAGTGCATAAGTGGATGAGCAGATGGAGGATTGATGAACAAATGATGGATTTGTATGTGGTAAATGAATAGGTAGATGAGTTGATGTATTGGGGAAGGCCCCAATCCCTGATCTGGAGAACATAAAACGCATAATTAATTGTGTTCCTAGACCCAGGAGAACACTGGCATCAAGGCAAGTTGTCCTGGAGTCAGCTGAGTTCAGGATGTGCTTTCTGGCCCAGGGCTGGGAGCAGGGCAGAGATATTTTAGACATAATCCTTGGCTTCAGGCAGTCCATCCCTAGCAATTCAGAAAGTGTCACAATAGGGCACAGTTTTAGGGAGGGCACTAAGCTTACTACATCCCTTCTGTAGTTTGGCAAGGCTTAAAGGCAGGGCCACTACTTTCTTGGGTACAGGATAGACAGTGCTTGGAAAGCAAAGCCTCTGAATGTAAACTTTTCCAGAGATGCAATGGGAACGGGACTCCTCAGAGAGTTCCTCCTGAGGGGCACTGCCCGAGTTTATGAACCATGTGCAGTCACTTGAGCCTCTGTACCCCGCCCTCCACCAGAGGAACTCCAAAATGTCTTTCTGGGAGCAGGAGTGGCCAACCATGTATAGGCCCTATGTCCAGAGCCAGGGGTGGTCTTCAGGCTGAGTCTTCTATGGCCACTAGATTAGGAGAGGGAGCTGGGAGAGCCCGAAAGGTGGGCCATTCAACATTTGCTGGGGAAAGCAATATCCAAACACATAATTGCAGTATGAAATAAGCAAAGAATTTATAATTGTGTGAAGATACAACAGACCTATGAACTAGCTGAAAAGAGGTGATGACTTAGGGGGTCTTGAGAGACCTTAGTTGGTCTTTACAAGATGGTAGTTTGGGGTGCTTGGATATACAAAGTGAGTGACTAAGCAAGTGGCAGATGGGCTAGCAGTGACTCTAGCTTAGGGTAAAGCCTGTTCTCACTGCCGCAGGGCACCATTGTCTCCTGTGCTGGAGCCCACTTGTCCCTATGGAATGTCAATGGACAGCCCCTGGCCAGCATCACCACAGCCTGGGGTCCAGAAGGAGTCATAAACTGCTGCTGCCTGATGGAGGGGCCAGCATGGGACACAAACCATGTCATCATCACTGGGAGTCACGATGGCATAGTTCGGGTAAGTGTGTCTTGGGCAGAATGAGGACATGACACAGGAAATATCTCCATCTCCATTTTGCCTACTTGCTCCAAAGAGTCCCAGGATCCATGCTTCATGGGGTGTTGTCTCAACCTGTGGGTCAGCCAGAGGAGCCTGGGGTAGCTGGGTGGCAGGTACACTCTTTTCTGGGCACAAGTGGGAGTCTTCTCTGTACTCAGCACTCATTAATTCAACAAGATCATTGAGCTTCTGAATCAACCACTGCTGTATGAAGCCTAGTAGAAGCTCACAGAATCATCACTTGAGTGGAGGCTGGTTCTTCTCCCTTAGTGATAAAAATCCAGTAAGAAGCCACATGCAGTTGGCCTGAGAGCACCCACAGGCAGGGATTGGGACCAAGGCCCAGATACAAAGAACCAGGAGGTGAAATGAGGAACAAGAGGATATTAATTTAGTAATCTGACAATAAACTGACTTCAGAGTCTCCACAGTACAGGGACAGGGATGGAGGGAGAGTATGTAGTGATCTAGAAGTGGGAACGAATCTACCTACACTGCCATTGTTCTCAACTGAACCTCCACAAGGGGGAACTGGAGTCTAAACCATCCCTGGTGATAAATTAACATCAGAAGTGAAAGGGTTAGAGGGCAGTCCCTTTCCCTTTCTTCAGGATCCTCCCAGTGTAAAAGAATAGGTTGGGCCACTCCCAGCCTGCAGACATGACAATTTCCCCAGCCGATGATATTTTCTCTTTTCTGGACAGATTTGGAAGACTGAGGATGTGAAAATGTCTGTTCCCAGGCAGACAGCGGCAGAGGAGACCTCTGTTCAGCCTCCAAGCCCCAGAGGTACCTGCCTGGCCAGGAGGAGACCACCCTTACTTTGCAAACTACCCTCTTTCCCTCCCTTCTCTCTGCTTTTGGCCCACGGCTGCAGTTCCACCCAGGTCTGCAGAGCTTAGGGAAGCCATTAAGGCTCTGGAGATTGCTGCCAGGTTTGGGAACAAGAGACTGTTTATTTACTGAAAGTTTCTGCTGAAATGTAAAGCATTATGAGAGACCCTCTTGAGTCCTCACCTCATTCTTGCAAGAACCAGTGACCCCTGGGCTGCTCCTTGGACACAGGGGTGGTATGTGGTGGATGTCAGGTAACCCTGAGCTTCAGAGGGGAAAACATACTTTGGTGATCTTGGTTTGATGCTTTTCATCTGCCTGGGTGGCTCTGGAATGCCAGACTCCCCAGCCTACAACCTGGAACCTGCTGCCTACTTGCCTGGACAGCCAGGCTGCAGATAGGAGCAAGGGAAGGGACACTTCCCCAGGGTTGAAGAATTGTTCCCATCATGCCCTAGACTGCCCCGTAGACCTGGATCCACCCACCCAATTCTCCATGGCAAATTCCTCAAAAGTAGATTATCTGCATCTGTGAGAACATATTAAAAAATGCAAGAGGCTTATTAAAAATATAGATCCCCATCCTTTTACTCAGTCTAACCCACTGGAAAAGATTGGGTGTTGTTAGCATTTATATGTGTGGTGTGCCCCTAAAGTAAGAGAACCACTATTCTGCAGCAAAGCCCACTTTGAGTTGTGGTAAATAAGACTGAAGTAAGAAAACCTGTTTCACCTTCTGCCCTCATAGCCTCGCCACAAGTGCCACCATGGCCACCATTATAAAACTGAGATGGCAGAGAGCTGACTGTGCAACTTCCGCCTAAAACACTTCTCACCCATTTTCTCATTTCTCGTGCAGTCCTTTGTAGTAGATATCACTACCATTTGATGAAGATAAGAAAACTGAGGAACAGGGAGGTCAGCAACTTGCCCAAAGTTACCTAGCAATCAAAGTTACCATCTTCTCAACTTCTGCCACTAGAGCATCCACACCAACCACTGCAGGATCATGCCAACCTCTACTGTGGGATCAGGACCACCAACCCCTCCACCATGGACACAGGCACAAAACGCACCATCAAAGCTATCACCTCTTCCACCACGTCTGTCTGGTTACCCCAATTCTTGCCATCTTGCCAGAAAGATTTCAGACATGTGACTCAGAATAGTTGGAATGAGTTCATTAGAAAGGGTAGGAAAAGGGTAAAGAGGACACTCTCAAGGGAGAGAGTAGATCCTCTCAGAGAGAGAAGGAGGGCACACCCCTCCTGCCCTCCAGTTCTATTGGAAGTCCCAGGGAAGTTTCCAGAGAGTCCTGTCCAGGTCCATATTTTTCTTTTCTTTTTTTCAGTACTGGGGATTGAACCCAGGGGCATTTTACGATTGAGCTACATCCTCAGCCCTTTTTATTTTTTATTTTGAGACAGGGTCTCACTAAGTTGCTGAAGGGCTTACTAAGTTGCTGAGGCTGGCCTTGAACCCGTGATACTCCTGTCTCAGCCCCCTGAATCACTGGGATTACAGGCATGTGCTGTAGACTGGCCCAGTCCATCTTCTGACTATTGACTGACTGCAGAGGAACTTCTAGGACCTCCTGGAATAGAGGATGGTGTGGTGCCCACAGAGGCAGAGTTTAAGGAAATTGAGTCCCCCTCTTTTTTTGCATGAATTCCCTGCCTGCTTAGTTGATTTATTAGTCTTTGAATAACCCTCAACAAACTTTCTTTGTAAGGGTCAGAGTGACTGGGAGTTGTGACATAGTTTTTATGATAAGAAAGGGTCCAAGCCACTTGGTAGGGTGTGACATGATTTTGAAACAATAGTTTGTCTTAAGGGGATGTAATTATGGCCCAGGGGCAGGAGGTGACATAACAGGCCCCAAACTTTCAGGGACCTGCTTGTTGGATGAGGCCTTGCTTGTTGGACACCAGTCACTGTTTATTGTCCTTTCCCTGCTCACCCATTCATGGCTGACCAGCTACCTAATATTCACCACCACGGCTTTCTCCAGTGCAGGCAAACTTCTCTCTCAGCTCTGGCTTCATCAAAGATTCCAGCCAAGAACTGAGACATCTTTCCTGGGTCCCACAATCAAAAAGAAACATCCCTATAGTGAAGTGAGAGATCTCCTATCACACTGACCCCTTCTGATAGCTGGCTCCCTGTTTGTTGTGCTTTCCAACAAGTGATCATTCATAGGAGAGAATTTCCCTGACTTCTGAAGGTTGTCTTCTGAAAATAGTAGCCATTTTCAATGATTTTAAAAAATATCTCATACTTGGTTGATTCATTTAGTCATAAATTCATGGATAGTTGGTTTTTTTATGCAAAAACATGGCTCTTTTATTATGTAAGCATATAGGACATCCCCTCAGCCCATGCTTTGTCATAGGCTCTACACTGGGAATCCCTTCCTTCAAAATAACACCATTCAGGGACCCTTGTCAACAATATATGGTGATCTAGAGGACTAACACCACTGACTAAGAACCACATTCAATAAACTTATCCTAGAATCCCTAGGGTGCTTGGAGACCATGAGGAATCAGCCCATTTCAGTGGAAAAGAAGAGAAGTATAAGCCTTATGAATTTTAAGGAAACCAGGGAGCTGAGAGAGAAAGTTTTGTACCAGTGTTCAGGATGAAGGCTTGTTTGTAGTGATTACATGGAATACACCTGCATGAGACTGCACTCCATATTGGTTTTAGGATCAACTTCCCATTTGAACCTATCCAGGCCCAATAGGCTAAAGGGATTAGCTTAGTCCATGGATGATAGATGGATGCCCCCAAATGAATGGTAGATAAATTGGTGGAGGGGTGGATGGGTGGATGGACAGGTGAAGGAAAGGCATCTCAGAGCCATTCCATTATCTAGACATGCCATTGGACTCCCAGATCTCTATTCAGTGCAAACAATTGTGATGAAGCTGCATCCATTGGCCATAGGGTCTAGCAAATGAGAAGTGGGGAATGAGGCTCTAGACCCAACTCTGTCCCAGAAACTTGTCTAGCCCCCTCTCCTCTCTGTCAAATGGAGACATTTCCTATCTTGCAGAGGGCACTGATGACAGAAAACCAATTGATACAGACAAGAATTCACAAATGCCGGTCATGGTTGTTATTTTCTCAGACTCCTGCCAATGTATTCTCTTTGAACATAACAGCCAGTACCATAAGGGAAATTACAGAATGGTTGCAGTGGACACCATCCTTCCCCTGCTGTCTGTCCCCATCTGAGATTACCATGCCCCACTCAACTGACTGCCAGGAGGGCGGTTATCATTACAGGAAAGATTAGGATAAAATGACACCATGGCGCAGACATAGTCAAAAAAATTAGATTGAGCTGTAGTTTAGAGTCAACAAATCTATGCGCAGATTTGCAAACCTAACCCGCTGGAGGTCTTTAATAAGGAAGCATGTTGTTCTTATAATATTGCTCAAAACTGTTTTGTTGGAAAGGGATCAGTATTAAGCATGACACATAGATATTTGCATGTGTGTCCTCTTGCTGTTTATATTATTGTATCCCCTCAAATGTCTTAAGGGGCAAGAAAGCAGATCTTTGATGATATTAAGGAGACTGCATTTGTGGGCAGAGGTAATCTAATTTCTGCCTGGAATTCATTTATTTGTCATTTGCAGCAAGGACCAACCCAGTTGGGTACATTTTATTCCAGAAATCACCTCCTAGACTGGACTCAATCTGGTACCTAAAAAGCAGTCAGGAAATGCTTGTTATTTGGACTTGTACAGGAATTTACAAATGCCTGGTTCTAATTCAAGGCAGCTTCCCCAGCTTGTAGCCCTCCTGAATTTCCTGGTGTGTGGGCCTGTCTGCATATGTAGGTGACCATCACAGAACATCTGGGGCTGCCTGGCCTCCTGCCCCAAGTCCAGAAAAGTGGCCTTATAGGCACATACCCAGCTGGTATCTCTCCATCTCACACTTTATGTTGAAGGAATTGCTGTCTGTCCCCAAATGCAGTCATTAAAATGAGTGAAGTAACAGTCATTGAGTTATATTTTTTGAAAAAACGTTCTCAGCATTTAATTATTGGTTGTGGCGTGAGAGGATTTAGATAAGTTGATAATGTCGACTTTATGTAATTTATTTTTACTAAGCAATTACGGGCTGCATTACATCCTGGCAGCAAGGTATTATGGGGCATCTTATTAAGCATAAAGCCAGTAAACACTGATGAACAATTTTGCTGAACTAGGCATGCAATTTAGAAAGCAATAATACACAAATCCAATTTGGTACACAATGGATACCGCGGCACGTCAGCACATGTAACTATCACAGCCTGCAAATTAAATTGGGACGGCCCTTTTTGCAACAGCACAGGCCAAGATTAAATATATTTTCCCCCTCAATTTAACAAGTTGCTGACCACAAATATAAATATGTGTGTATGTGTTTGTGGTTCCATGTGTGGATGCACACAGGCTCATATGTGAAGCCACTCGGGTGTTCTAACTATTCTCTCACACGCTTTACGCAGGCCACAAGTGGGAAAAGAACCTTGCCCTGAGTAGAGAGCTGGATGTCAGCTTGGCTTTGACTGGGAAACCCAGCAAGACCAGCCCTGCAGTGACAGCTCTGGCTGTGTCTAGGTAAGTGCAGCCTGGTTTCCCCAGGCCTCCAGCAGAGGGTGCTGTGGCCACCCTTAGAAAAGTCCCGGCTGCTCTGGACTCCTCAGACTTAGAAAGGCCATCTCACCACAGGGACCCAGGGGGCTGGGCAGGCACTTGCTGAAGGCACCGTGGCCCTACAGGGCCTTAGGGAGTGTTTTTGATTATTTTTGTTTTTCTTTTAACTCACACATGCTCTTTCTCTCTTGGGCTTGACTATCCATGAATTTCTAAAGAATTTCAAAAGGTAGAAGAAGCATATCGTTTTGTCATCTTATCCTAAAGAGGATCTTTTTTTCATTAATTCCCCTGAATGCTGATTATAGCATTTGGTAAGATGACCATCTTACATTAACAGAGCCCTTTTGAGGGCTCTAAGCCCATGTAGTATCAGAGATGACAGTTGATACCCATCATTTCATTGTTAGTGTGACCAGGTAGAAGTAGTTATTGTGGTTAATCCTCTCTGCACACTAGGTGGTGTAGTCTCAAGAGGCTTCTGACCTCTTAAAGCCCCTTCCTTCCTCCCTGTGCTGGAGTGGGCTGTTCTGCAGTGAGTCTCTGGTGGTGGGAATTGCTGGATGTTCTGGACTCGGTGGAGTGGAGCGGGCATAGGGATTAGGAAGAAGGGTCCAGAGCTGCACTCCTCACTGGAAAACTTGCCTGTTGGGCCTGAGGCCTTATATGCATGTCTTACAGAACAGGAGCTTCCCCCTGGAGTTGCTGGAGAGACAGAGGCAGGGCCTCAGCCGGGTCCCTGAAGCCGGGAAAGCTTCACTTTCCCCCAGTGCTTTGGGAGTCACAAGCTTCCAGCTCAAAAGCCCCCTTCAATATAGTTTCCAATTCTCCCACTCCTTCCTCCATGTTGCAATTTCCTGCATGCTGGCTGGGATACACGATAATCACACTCTTTCCTTTTTTTTCTCTTCCCAAGAAACCAGACCAAGCTCCTGGTTGGCGATGAGAAGGGAAGAATATTCTGCTGGTCTGCAGAGGGGTAGGAGGAAAAAGGTGGCAGAGGCTCTGGCACAGTAGCCACGTGTCCCTGGGGGCAGCAGCGCCAGGTGGAAGGCAGATGATGTGGCACAGGACGGTGGGCTCTGTACCCAGGGGGAGCTTCCAGGGCCTCATGTGCTCAGGTTCTCAAAAAAGGACTCTCTGGCAACCAGTGTTCTACACCCCAACCATTTCTCTGGCCCATGAGACTTCTATAAGAAGAATAAGAACACACATTCATGCTAGAAACTGTGAGCTGTTAATGACAAGCTGCACGTGAAATTATACAACTCACTTTATCAAGGGCTTATTGCACTGAAAAACATGGGATTGATTATTGGAAACTAATGGAAACTGTCATATTGTCTATTTTATTAAAGCAACTATTTTCCAAATGCAAGAATGTTTAAGATTGGCACTCTTTTCCACTCAGATATTTTCATCTCCATACTTAGAAAGGCAGGAAAGCCATGGGGAGTAAGTGGCCACTATTAAGCAGGCCCAGCCTCTGTGGCTGAACCATAGTATGTGGCCATGAGTGTTGCCCAGAGCATGTGTAAGGAAGTCCGTCACTGTAGGTGACACTCCCTATCTGGGCATGCCTGCCCACCTCTCCAGTCACAGCAGGCAGTGGATCCCAGCTAGGCTCTGGCTTGGCAATCTCCTTCCCAGAGCCTGTCCTTACACAGAGATCCAATTCCACATGTTGATCTAGCTTTTCTTGGGGAGATATACTCTGCTATATGAATTGTGTTCTTCTGAAAATGCATGGCAGGTAGGGTGGTTACTTGTGCTCCTCTAAGGAATCTCCTAGTACCTGGACCACCCTTGGGTCAGTCCTCTGGCATTGAAGGGCTGATTCTAATGAAACGTCCCACCTGAAGACTTTCAGAACCCCCTGGAAAAGAAATTCACTGCTTCTTTAATAAAATCTAACTCGCATGGCTTTAGGGGGATTCAGGGAGGCTAAGTGCCTTAGCCTTGACTCTCCTCTCAGAGGTCTCCCTTCTAAGACCCAGGTGAGGATATGAATCGAATCCTCTCCTATTTCCCCAAGCCCTGCAGAGGGTCCCATGGGAGTCTCCAAACAATTTATCCCAGGCCCAGGTATGGCTGGAGAATGCACCTGGTGTTTTATGGCCGTAGGTCATCTAGCCTTTAGGGGGCAGTGAGTCACTTTAAATATAAATATTAAGAAAGGAGGGGTAATATGGAACCTTGTCAAAAATAATGAGAGATGATGGTTAGGGCACACTGATTTATCTATAAACTTTGAGGTCTTTGCAAAGGGGAAAATGGAGGAGGAGGAGGAGGAGGAGGAGGAGGAGGAGGAGGAGGAGGAGGAGGAGGAGGAGGAGGAGGAGGAGGAGGAGGAGGAGATGCTTCCAGTGGGACTGGAGCACCCACTTCCTGGGTGGGGAGGGCTCTTGTCTGACCCCAGGGCCAAGGATCATGCCACCTCCTGCACCATCTGCATACATTATTAGCAAACAGCCCATTTACAATCCCCTAGCCAGCCTAGGACTGCACCAGAAGACCATAAATTTAAGAGCAGAGAGCACCACTCCCCAGGAAGGCCAAGAAGCATGTCATAAATATCAGGGCTGGGCTGGCTGTCATTTTTCAGAACACAATTCGTAGCATTTATCCAGGGTTGAAAGGTCTGCCAGATGAAAGGCTGTCTTTGGTTCATTCATTCAATAAGCTTTCTTCCCTTCTGTCTGCCCCACGTGGAATATGGAAAATGGGGAGATGAGGTTTTCTTGTTGGGGTCCTGGGGCTAAAATGATAGTGCCAACAAGTGGGCCTTAAAGTGGAAGAGGTAACGAGAGTCTCATGTATTTGTTCTGACATTTTGTTCCCAGTTTTTGTATCTGTAAAATGGGATTCTGGTGTCTATCATGAGACTTATAATGAAATTAAAATAATGTGTTTTATAATAAAAGCCATAAAATGGTAGGAGGAGGAACAAACAATAGATTGCCTATCCCTGATCTGATGCAAACTTTCAATTTATCACAAACCCTTTTGTCCATCAGTGTTTTTTCTTGCTGTGCAGTCCTTGTGCTCAGAGCCTTAGGTCAAAGAAGACCGGGCTGGTGAGAGGGATGAGGACCGTGGGACAGCAAGGGACCCTGCGAGGGCAGGCATGAGGACAGCAGGCAGAACTGAATGCTCCAGAGGCCACAGCTGGGATGATAGATTGTGTTGCTCCAGAAACATCCTGGAATGGAAGTCTCTCTCAGGTGCCAGCCCCACAGATTCTGAATTCATCAGTATAGAGTAGATGTCATGGTCCTGGGCAGTGTGGGCTCAAGAGTCCCTTCTGGGAGGAACTCTAAAACAGACGGCAACGGGAGGGGGTTGAGGAGGAGGAATTGCACTTATGCTCAGCTCACCACCTGAAAGGACTTCCACAAAATCTTCCAAATAACAGTGACACCAGTCTCCAACCTCACTCTGCCTCAGTGATGACCAGGCCCCCATGCTATTCCTTAGGAGCAATGCCACAGTCACTTTTCCCCCCAGGGAAGTCTCAACTTTGGGTACTTTGTAAGTAAATGCTGCGTTGCACCCATGCATCACAGATTGCTCACCCTGGGCCTCCCCTGGGCCTCCATGTCCTCTGAAAGGCCAGGGAGGGGAACTTCCTCTCTGTCACCAAAAGGCACAAAGGATAGCAGGGGTCTCAAAGTTCAGCTATGAAAGCACAGGACATGCATGGACACTGGAATCCTTCCAGGAGGTGGCTTCAATGAGTGCGCCCTAAGGCTCAGGCAGTGTCCCTCTCTCCAAATGGACAGGCCTAGCCCTCTGTTAGACACATACTGGCACAATATTCGTTATTCATGGGAAGCTCAAATTGAGCCAGTTGTCTTATATTTGTATTTCAGTCCTGTCCCCCTTCTACCTGGACCTCTTAGAGGCAGGGAAATTTGGTACCTGGCCAGGGGCCCTGGTGGGACTTAGAGGTACTCAGTGGTGACAGATGAACTGCTTGTATTAAACAAGCTGAAATTCAACAGTAGGAATTCACAGAGGGTCCACGTGAGGCCTTTGATGCCAGCAACCATGTTTCTAGGGCCTTCTTGGTCTCTCTGGCCTCTGGCCTCTGACCCTTGCCTTTCATTCTTTTGTGCTCCAAACTCCAGGGAGAGGTGTTCAGTCCTGTGGAAATCGCAGAAGCTGCCTCCCCCAAGCTCAGCCAGCAGCTAGAAGCCAAGTCCTGAGAACTTAGTCGCAGGGCCTGCAGAGAACTCGGAGATTGGATTTGATCATATTAAAATGCAGCTAGGCAGGGCACATTTGGGGAGGAAAAGAGTCTTCATATGAAAATCCTGATGAAATTTGTTTAGCATAAAATCAAATCTCTCTCAACTCAAATCAGTTTTGCTTTAGTACATTCTTGGGTACACATCATATGCCCAGATTAGGTGTGTGTGTGTGTGTGTGTTTTCACATGAATGTGCTGTTTTTAATATTCCTCTTATGGGGGGGGGGGTTGCCTGAAGCTCCTTCTTCACCTTTGTAGTAAACAGGAGCACCTTTCAAATTATCTCCTTCCCCCAGGTCCCTGAAGGTCTGACTGCCCCAAATGGCTACAGAGACACCCCTTGTCCCAGCCCCTTCATTGTCATTTTCCAGAAATGCATCATAATAAATTTACAACCTTTCAATGACTCGGCGGGAATATGCACCTCCAACATTGTGCCATGCTGCTTTGCAGCCCTGCAGCCTGTGCCCAGGCATTAGGCACTGATGGGTCCTCTCTGACATTTGTATGATGATGTTACTTGACTATCCACTTGTTATGAAGCACCTGTTCATTCATGCGTCCACTTACTCACTAGCATTACACAAGAATCCACTGAGGGCCAGGCTGGGTACCTGAGAGAGACTAATTCATGACAGGTAACCCCTGATGGTCTATGGCCATTGAGAGTCCCATAGACCCTCTAACTGTGCCACTTTACACTTGGGGGAAGTGTAGAGAAGGAAAGTCCACAGAAGGGAAGGGACTTGCCCAAGGTGACATGGCAGGATAGTGCCAGTGCCTGGTCAAGGCGGAGACCAGAGCATCCCTCTGCAGTACCACATGTTTCCTACTTTTTCGGTAGGGCCATTGGCAGAAATAAATCTAAAGAACCTGAACCAGACACTGCAGCCTCAGGGCCCCTCCCTATCTCACCATGAAACTCAAAGGAAGAATAATGGGCTCAGATACTTCTAGATTAATAGGAAAAAATATCCCAGAATATCTGTGTCAGAGGAGGCAGCTTGGACCCATCCTGCAACAAGGATGTCAGTACTGTAGCCAGCAACCTCCTATGACTGTGAGGCACAGCCTCACACGGTCACATGCAGCAAGCAGCCCATTCTACTCAGGAAGAGCCTCTTCCTCTTCCTCTTCCTCCCTCTCCTCCTCCTCCTCTCTCCCTCCCTCCTCCTTTTCCTCTAGGTAGTGTTGGAACGTGAGGTCACACTCAAAATCCTTTCCTCTCCACCCAAACGCTCCTTCAGTCTTCATACTCTCTCTGCCTCAGTTTTTGTGTGTGTGTGTGTGTGTGTTTGTGTCATTTTTAACACAGGAATAGTAATTCCTGACCTCCAAGATTGCTCTGAAAGTTAAATGAGATAATGTGTATAATTTTTTAGATAGAGCAGGGGCCCAGGAGATGATGATGATGAAAGTCGTTTTCACAGCACCTGAAAACAGAATAATGACTTCCCTTCTCTTTTTTTTTCTTCTTTTGTTCCTTAGAGGTATTATCCCCTATTTAAATATTTACCAAATCATTCTCATTTCCAAACACCTACAAAATTTGTCTGCATCACCTGTACAACTGTTTTCCTAATGTTTGTCTTTAAGGTCACTCTTTTTTTATATTTTGAACTTTAGCCTCATCTAAGCGTTAATTGTGAAATCACACAAAGGTTGGATACACAGCGTATGGTTTCCTATCTAAAAATAAATGAAAAAAAATCTTCTCTATGTACCCACACATGCATCTTATGGAGCTACTGGGGTTGCTGACCACATGTCAAAGACTCTATCCTTACCCAGGGTCCTGGGGCAGGCTCTTAATTTTGTCCTGGAAGTAGATGGCCCAAAAGAAACCCTGAGTACATTCTCCCAGGTTAAGGTAGCAGGACCAGAGTGGGGAAGGGACAGACTCTAACCCCCAACTGCCATGGATTACCTCTCCCTGCCGCTGAGAGGGCATTTTTGAGTACTCTCTTCCAATTTCTCAGGACATGCTCTCGGCCCTAACTCACAACCAGAACTTGAAACTAAGATCTAATACTGTTCAGAATCTCATAAAATATATGAGTTACTTAGGAATAAACATGACAAATGATGTGCAAGATCTGGAACTCATCTGAAAACTACAGAAACAT